TCACAGCTTCGAGAATTTTTTCTTTGCCTTTTATAATTGTTCTGACCGACAATTCCAGTAGATCAAACTTCTTTGCCAATTCACAAATTTTCATTTTTGTATTGAAGTCTTTAATAATGGGTACATTCGTAAAGTCAAACGAGTTAAACGCGTTAGTAACAAATCGTTAAAAAAGTCTAACAAAATAGGAATAACGATGACTTCATTCTCGCTTAACTCGTTCGACTTTACGAACATACCCAATGTTAACTTTACATTCCAAAGATAAAGTTTTTCTTTTCTTGTTTGATGCAGAAGAATTAGTTCTACTTCGTTTGGATGACATAGTAGAGTCTCTCATGTCTCCGTAGATATAACAAACACAGAAATAAATAACACAAAATAAATTGTAGCTATGTGTGGATTCCGCACGACACATCCGAACATGTAAGCTGAACAATAGTATGGGGGGAGTAAATAATCAAGGGTTGCGTGGCACTCAAACAAAAGACGAATCGACAAGATTTGAAAATCGCGTAACTCCGGGTTTGCGTAAGTCGGGGTAGTGTAAGTTGGGGTATTACTGTATTTAGTTATTAACTTTAGCCCATATTATGGCCAAATACTTTGGCAAATCATCTGGCTTTAAATGTACTATTTATTTAATTAAAGAAGTCAAAAAGTTTGTTTTATTTAAAGAAACTAAAAATATTTTTTGGCTTCTTTAAATAAGTAGTTCATTTATCTTTTGATTTTTATTTATTGATAAAAGTAAAAATAAAATTATAGCTTTGTTTTTTTATTTTGCTTTTGTTTTACCATTAAAATGTTATTTTCTTCAATTACTACTATGAAAATTAACTGTTAAAAAATATCACAAATGTTTTAAGGGTTTTAAATATATATTAAAAAATTATCATCAGCAGTAAAAAGACTTTTTTCAAAAATTTTTCATGAAAACATCATATATATACAGGGATCCCTTAATTAATGCAGTTTTGCTTAATGCATGATTTGATTAATGGACAAAAATTAATTGAGGCAATCCCTTTATATACATGGCAGAAATTTTAATTTATGTGACTTTACCAGCTATCTTTACTTAACATAGATATTGTATTTGATTAATGCAATATTGATATACATGGTAGCATTGAGGGATTAATTAACCAGGTTAATCAAGGGATACCTATATTTTATAGTTATATTTACTTTGCTATCTATAGATTATATTCAAACTTACTTTATTTAAAAATTTTATTTTTGAAATAAGTAACTTTTAAAAAATATATAACATTTTAAAATTATTATTAAAATTTATAACTTTAAAATAAAATAAAATAAATACTTTTCTTAGAAATTAATTTTAATCAAACTAACCTGTTCTTTTTCAAACAAATCTCTAAGATGTTCGAGATTAAGACTAGAAAGGAAAGCAGTGACCGTCATATTGTGTAATGTTGTAGATTCAGATATTTCGGTCCTGTCAAAGTCAATACAACCATCTCCATGTTGTGATGCTGTAACATTGGCAATGATAGTGGACGATCTTTGATTATTCATAAGATTTATGGTCGGTGAAAAATCACTTTCGATTCTCATACTTGTATGAGATGGCGGTGTTGACGAAGGAAAACTACAAAGAGATTTTTAAATGTGAATAATATAAACAAATGAATCTAAAAAAAGTCATAAATATTAAACAGTTCTAAATTAATAATGTATCATTATGATTAGACCAAACATAAATATTAATAATTTTCAAAAAATATAATTTGATAATTATATAACTAACAAGAGTCCAATAAGAATTATGATAAATATAGAACTATTTTTCAAATGTTCCATACATAATATAAATAAAAATTATATTTAAAATTTTAAAAATATTTTCATTGTAATTATTTTAAATTCAAAAAATTTATAACAGAATAAGAAGTAAAATAAAATACAATACAGAAATTATTGGACAAGTGTACTATATTAAAAAACTAATGGCTCTCAAAAGACAATACCTGTTTTGATTAGCAAATTTAAATAAATAAAATACAATTACAATCTAGTGATAAATTATTGTAGATCCTTTCATAATAATAAAAATAAAATAAAATACACATGAAAGACTTAAGCTGTCCCATTACATCATAAGAATAACTACCAAAACACATTATGTGGCATTAAAGTTGAAATATTGCAGACTAGAATTAAACAGCATATAATCTCTATTGAACATGACAATCCATAAGCAATATTTGTGCATATGGTGTCTGCAGTGGGGAAACATAGGGCACTTGCCACTCCCTGCAATTGCATAAAATATTCCACAAATTATAATTGTAAAAGTAATTGAGATATGTAATCTTACACACTCGACGATGAAACAGTTTGGTGCAACAATGTATTCTATAATCTATTTGTGAAAAAAACCCACCAAAAATGAAATAATTAAATATAAATTTTCAACTTTACTAGAATGCATTACTCCTAGCTAAAATTTCTAAATATAAATTTCATTATTATTTATTATACAATGGAAATGTATTACATGATATTAAATTTAAATAACTTTTGGGCAACTATTTAAGAATAATTATTATTTTAAAAAATAAATAATCAATTACTACTACAGTAGTACCAATTCCATCCTCTTTATCTTCCTATCTTTTTTCTTTCTTACTCGAATTATTGTCATTGTAACATTTTTAAGCACAATTCAGATTTTATTACGCTTGAATTTATTTTAAATTAATAAATGCAATTTAGAAATTCTTTTAAGACAAATTTCTGGCTGAATTAATTTTAAAATAATTGTTCATAAATTCTTAAAAGGAACAAGGAACAAAATTAATGTTATTGCATTTTATTGATGTTGCTGTGATAATGCTTTAAGTTATTTCATTGTACCCAAATTATCACCTCCAGTCAAATCCAAATCATGGCGCACATTAATTTTGTCCACAAACATATTTGACAAATCACTTATAAATGATAAAAATAAGCCTACTTTTGTATGTATGGAATACACAAAATTTTTCTGGCCCAACTATACAACTTAAATGTAATTTGGCCCACCAAAAGAAAAGTTTGGAAACACTGAGTTATTTTTATTTATTTTTTGTTGATAATGTTAGCATGCCAGTAAAACAATTACATCAATTTTAATTTTTGTTTCTTTTAAGAATTTATAAGATTTCCTACATATGATTATTGGGCTGCAATATGAAAAAAAATTGTAACCTGTAAATTCCCATTGTCATATGTCTGTATGTCCTTCCTTAATCTCGAGAATGAAGTTAGATAGATGAATGTCAAAACCATATATGGAAAGCTTAGGGGCAGGAAAACCAACTAACTATATATGAACTTCCAGTTTGAACTGGAAGTCACATTTCAATTCAAAAATTTTCTCCCAAAAGGAGTTAGATAGATGACCAGCACGACTATTGTTAACAGGAAACTATGATGCATAAGGGCACAAGATGATGCACACAAGATGATGACAAACTATGATGCACAAGACACTACCAATTTGAGGTGAAAAGCATATATTTTAAATTAAATAAATTAAAAATACAATTAAAAACTGCAGCCCAGTATTGTGACAATGTCACAAAAAAATAATTGCTTATTTTATTAGTAACTTCTGAAGAAGTTCAAAAATATTAATGTATAACATTTTTTTTTTTTCTGTTGATACCTAAGGAAGTTGAACTTTCATACTTATTAGATTACAAAACTGATGAAATGTATTTTCTAACAAATTTCATGCTTCATCCAATAATCTACAAATCACATACATTCTAAATCTCTTCTGTATTTAATAAATTTTACTTACACAATATAACTTTCTTTCTAAAACAAAATTATTTTAATATGTGAAATCTAGATTTTAAATGATAACAGTGAACTTGGGATTAATTATATTCAATAATAGAATATATAAACAAGCAATAATAAAGTGAAAATTGTATTTTGCTAAATTATTTTTAATTACATCTAAACTAAATCTCATCAGAATAATAATCATTTTTTAAATTCCAATTTGAACTTGTTTAATTGAAAACATTATTATAATACAATATTATGTTATTCAGAGTCAAACTTAATTTTTGAAAGTAGAAATTATGAGTAGAATATATTAACTTCCTGAAACCCGATGTATTGATACTAAGCCAAATGATCACCATAATTAATTGGTTGGTTCTTTTCTTCCAGAATGTTCTAAACTATTTAATAAATTATTAAATTATTATTATTATTAATTTAGATAAGAGATGGTGTCTAATGTCTACCTTTAGTACCAAATTACTTAGTTTCTAATTATTAATTATAGCATATTAATATCTTGATTAATTACGACTATCGTTTGGCTTAGTATGAGTAGAATAACGAAAATTTCTTGAAATGAAATGAAATAAATAAAAATGATTCCAGATCAAATAATTATTGCTGATAAAATTTTTGTTTTTGTGTTGTTAATTGTTATTACATGAAGATTCCTGCATGCATTCAACTGTACATTTTACTGAAATAAACTGCTAAACATTTCTCAGTGATAGGTGTTTGATGCTTCATTAAGTGAAATAAAACTGCTTGTTTTAATTGCTTAATTTAAAATTTATTTTTAAATGTATTTCTATAAACTTTAATGAAGGTTAAAAATAACACGCCAACACAATAAGAGAGAATTTCTGAATTATAATAATAAAAGAAAATGGATCATAACTTCCTAAGTTTTAATTTAAATGTTTTTGAAATATATTATAGTAGAACTATGCATAGCTAAACAAATTAAACTTACTTTACATAATGTCAATAGTAGTATAAATTTCTCAGTAACAATTTCAATAAGACAAAATGAATTATTTCTAACTGACAGCAATTGAATAATGGAAATATTAGTGTTAACAGTCTTCTATTTGCAGATAATCTTTGATTAATCATAAAATTCTCTTAATTTATTAAGATTAATAAATTATTTTCCTAATAANAGTCGGGGTAGTGTAAGTTGGGGTATTACTGTATTTAGTTATTAACTTTAGCCCATATTATGGCCAAATACTTTGGCAAATCATCTGGCTTTAAATGTACTATTTATTTAATTAAAGAAGTCAAAAAGTTTGTTTTATTTAAAGAAACTAAAAATATTTTTTGGCTTCTTTAAATAAGTAGTTCATTTATCTTTTGATTTTTATTTATTGATAAAAGTAAAAATAAAATTATAGCTTTGTTTTTTTATTTTGCTTTTGTTTTACCATTAAAATGTTATTTTCTTCAATTACTACTATGAAAATTAACTGTTAAAAAATATCACAAATGTTTTAAGGGTTTTAAATATATATTAAAAAATTATCATCAGCAGTAAAAAGACTTTTTTCAAAAATTTTTCATGAAAACATCATATATATACAGGGATCCCTTAATTAATGCAGTTTTGCTTAATGCATGATTTGATTAATGGACAAAATTAATTGAGGCAATCCCTTTATATAAAAGTTGTGCAGTACTCTTTCAAGTAGCATAATTTAGTTCACTAAAACCAAAACTAAAACTACACTAAAACAAGACTAAGGCAATATTACTTTCAAGAAATGTTTTAAATGGCAATGAGGATGACTGCAAGTGAGATGATGTCAGTATTGAATCCAGTGTTGATTCAGAAAGCTTAACACAGAAAATGAAGAGGGTTTCCAACTTCAATATCATCAAAGACAATAATGTATAATTTACTTCACTTGAACTAAATACTGAACAGATTTATGTCAACAGAATCAGTTCTGATCAGTTCTGTTGGCATAAGTTTATCTCCAGTTGGCTATTAAAAAAAATAAGTGAGTGAGCATGTAGAAATTAAGATGCATCTTAGATTCAAGTATATACACTATATATACTGAATTAAACTTCTGAAAATAGATATCAGTAATTTTGCACAGCTTGTATAAAAACTATATGACAAACTTCTTGAAAATACTATAAAAATAAACAATGATAAATATTAGGTTGAAAGTATTTATCAATCTGTAAGACATTTCTTACAGTCATCACATGATTATCAAGCAGCTAATAATCATATATTTTTGAATTAATAACTCTTTACAAAAAATCACTTCTGCTTTTGCACTAAACAGCTGTTGCTGATAAATATAAGTTTATGTATTTATTGCATTTTAATTTGTAACACAAATTAAAATGCAATAAAATTTTGTAAACTCTATATGCCTAGACTATTTTTGTCATATCTCTATTCTAAGTCTACAGTCTGCAAATAAAAGAAAAACTATCTTCAGAAGATTTTCTGAAATATATAATTAATAGTTTTAAAACATTATAGATAAATGGTTTCAGAAAATGTAATTTTAGGATTGACTACAAATAAATCAAATAACTTTCAAAATGTCAGTCTAGAAAAAGAGATTTAATCAAGTCTTTATAGATGTTTGTCAAACTATTTTTTTACAATGAAATATAATTATTAAGATACATATAATGTAAAAAGTTATAACTAGTTATAATAACTCATCATAAGTATATATATTTCAAACTTTTTGGAATTGATAACAGACTAGATTTTTTAATACTAACATTTTACATTTTTATATAAACTAAAACAAGATATATTTAATCCAATATATAAAT